CTTGGATTTTACAGTATACCCATCATTAGACTTCATGAATGTGAGAAGACTAAGCTTTTGTTAGAACAACGACGGAGGTTATGGCTTGCGAAGATAAACAGGCAAGAATATGCTCGGAGCACTTTGTGTCAGGTGCGTATCGTATCTTATAATGTGTTGACAGACGTAATTTACTCAGTACTAACTTGTGTATGCTGATAGCTGGTAACTTGAGAGTTTCATTATTTAGATTACTTTATTATGAGGAGGATCGGTGTCGCGTCCGAGGCTCTCGAGGGCAACGTAAATGTATTAAATAGATAATAATAGTTCTATGGTGGGCTAAAACAATGTTCACAAACAGCATTGCTTCTGTAAAAAGATCTGTGTCATAAAATAAACTGCCCTTTACGCCTGGAAAAATCAGTTGCCCACCATTCACCAAAACATACGGTCAAAAACGCGGAAATAAACAATAACAGCAATCCAGAGTGTCCGTGTGGCATTACCATTAATTAAATTAATTGTTAATATAATTAAAATAATTAAATGGAGCTCCAACTGGTATTAAATATAAAGTTTTTGAGAAATGTTTGCATTGCTTGTTAATTTTTGCTGCATAATTTGATCAAATATGTAAAGCATGTCCGTAGCACGTTAAACTGTGGTGCCATTGTATTAATATACAATTATTTGCTCAAAAGTTGCCCTTTTTTTCCAATTTGCGTTTGAATATCTACATTTATTCTCATTCAAAAAACATACCTGATCCTGGGGCAGCTGGTAAAAACATGGATGCGTTAATAGAAAGAAATCCCCACTCAATGTTTCTTAATAAAGTGGAAGAAAAGGAAATACTTGACATTGTTAAAAAGTGTCACAACAAGAAATCCACTGACTATAATGACATTGACATGACTCTGGTGAAAGATGTGATTGAGGGAATTCTGAAGCCGCTAACGCACATCTGTAACTTGTCATTTCACACTGGTGTCTTTCCAAACAGCATGAAAATAGCCAAGGTTATCCCATTGTACAAAGGCGGGAACAAACATCACTTCAACAACTACAGACCTGTCTCCTTACTCCCACAATTTTCCAAAATATTAGAAAAACTTTTTAGTAATAGACTGGATACATTCATCACAAAACATAAAATGCTTTCTGACAGCCAGTATGGGTTTAGGTCGGAAAGATCAACAGCACTAGCGATAACTGAAGCTATTGAAGATATAACAAATGCTCTTGAAAAAAAACAATATGCTGTTGGAATATTTATTGATATTAAAAAAGCTTTTGATACAATCAACCATGATTTGTTGATAAAAAAACTAGGAAGATATGGTGTCAGAGGCATTGTGTTGAACTGGGTCACAAGTTATTTAAAGAACAGGCAGCAGTTTGTGAAGATGGGTGACGTTTGTTCAGCATGGTTGGACATTTCCTGTGGCGTCCCCCAGGGGTCAGTAGTGGGTCCTAAATTGTTTATTTTGTATATTAATGATGTTTGTGTTGTCTCACAGAAACTGAAGCTGGTGTTGTTTGCTGATGACACTAATATTTTTTGTTCTGGGGACAATTTAAAAGAGCTTCTTAAAGAGGTTACTCATGAAATGAACAAAGTGAAATTATGGTTTGACAGGAATAAATTATCACTTAATCTTAACAAAACAAAAATTATGTTATTTGGGAACAACCGATCTGAAGAGAAATTACAACTAAGGTTAGATGGGGTGCAAATAGAAAGGGTTAATGAAAACAAGTTCCTGGGGATTATAATAGATGATCAAATCACCTGGAAACCACACATCAAATATATACAGACTAAACTGTCAAGAAGCATTGCAATATTAAATAGAGCAAAACCGGTACTAGACGCTAAGTCACTTCGCAACATATACTGTACTATTGTCTTACCATATTTCAGTTACTGTTCAGAGATTTGGGGAAATAATTATACGAGTTCATTAAAACCATTACTTATTCTACAAAAAAGGGCAATTCGGATAATACATAACGCAGGCTATTTGGATCACACTCACTTACTTTTCTTGCAGTCAAAACTATTAAAACTCACAGACATAGTTGAATTTAAAACAGCACAGATAATGTATAAAGCAGCTAATAAGCTACTACCATATAATATACAAAACATCTTTACGGGTCGAGAGGGGGGTTATCAATTAAGGGGGTTAAATAACTTTAAAGTCATCAGAATACGAACAAACAAAAAGAGATTTTGTATTTCATTCAGTGGAGTACAAATATGGAACAGGTTGTGTGAAGAATTGAAACAATGTCTAAATATAAAGGAGTTCAAAGTAAAATATAAAGAGCATGTTTTGAATAGATACAGGGATGAATCTGGGGTACAAAAAGACACTAGGTGATACACGGTGCAATTATTGTTACTGTTCATTTAAGTTAATATTTTTTTAATTAACTGTAATTATATATATATGTATGTATATGTGTGTATGTATGGATACATGTATGTATGCATGTATGTATATACATGTATGTGTATATATATTAGTATATTTTGCTTCAATATTCAATATATTGAATTGACATAGGGAAGAGGGGTAGGATTAAATAAGCTTGGCTTCTTCCTACTCCTTTTGAACGTGAATAAGTTTTCTTTATTTTCTTTGTTTTGTTCTTACTGTTTTTTTTCTTTCTTATACATTTATTCGATGTTCAAATAAACACAATAAATAAAAATAAATAAATAAAAAATTCTTCTGTTTAATGGAATGCACAAACACAGCAGCGTGCCATCAAAGATGGCGTCTCCGAGGAGGTCATGTGACATTCATTGGTCTGTGGGAACTATGTATAATGATCTATCTGACCCTTTAGTGTCCCCCCCCAACCCACGGACTTACTCTCTAAGTATGTTAAAGTGGACAGTAATGGCTCTGGCTTTGCATACCCCTGTTTGTCCTTTTTGTTTTTGTTTTCGTAATCTGACGATTATCTTGGATCTTACTGCCTTAAAAACTGTTCTCGCAGCAGCGAACATCCTCTACATCAGAGAGCAGCAAAGTGATCAGAGAGACTCACGCTCAAAAACAACCACAACAGGAGCTAAACCAGGATTAAACCAGGACTAAACAAGGGCTGAGGACGGGGGTCAGTGCTTGTAAACATATGTCTTCACCATCAGCTTCTACTATGACTGTAAAAGTGCCGCTACAGAAGTACTGGCGTCAGCATCAAAGCTCCGCCCACTTCTGTGTTTTTCCCCAACACAGGACGTCAGAGACGCACATGTTTGGAATGTTATGAATGTGATTGAAAACACAGATGTTCGTTATGTGTGGATGCAAATTATTTCATAAATCATGTGGTTTTGCATTTACATCAACATACATTGTAGATATAAAGAATCCTCAATATATCTAGAAATAAATCTATGTTTTGCATTTTGGTAGTGGGTAGATCATTTTGACCATATCATTTTATAAGTAGCTCGCATGCTGAAAAAGTGTGAGCACCCCTGATCAAGATCATTCAAATTATAGAATCTTTGGTTTGAAGCACTAGCAGAGCCAGGTTTCAGGCTATGGCCAAAAGACCCGCAGAGCGGACCCGGAGAGCGGACCCGCAGAGCGGACTCTGTCGCTGATGCCTTCACATAAAAGTGGTGGTTGTTCTTCAACTTTTGCTAGTAAAAATATCTTCTATTTCGAAGCATCGTCAGGGATGATGAACGCCCTGGTGCTTTTTTTAAAAGAGAACCATTAGGCACCCCATATGTTTATTATAATTATAACCAGGGGTGCACATAACTTTTTCAGTGAGGTACTCAGATGAGTACCAGGACATGGTGTTTGGTACTCACTCCATTTGTCGCGCAATTCGTGATTGAGATTTTAGACTTGATTTTTTTAATGCTAAAGTTTAGATCAGCTCAGATAACTTAATCCAAGTCAAATAACCCATTAAGGCCTGACACACCTGATTAAACAGATCTGTAAAACCTATGGCCGACTTTAGAACCACCCTCCAAAACCTGAAGTTTTCCTGAAATTCAACGTCTACAGAATGATTGATATCTCGGCCTCAGAAGCAGATAGAAAGATCATTTCAAAAGAATCTGAGAGCTGTCACTTGTCAATTAAATGCAGTGTATTATTATAATCCTTCAGTAGAATAATAAAAAGAATATACAACTTCCACACAGGAATGGTAATAAAACAACCAATAATAAAGTGGGACTGACACATCTTTCTCAATACCACAAGTCAAAAAGAGTTTGGCAATAAAGTGGAATTAACTATGTGGAATTTTTTTTTTTTTTATCCACTCTCGACCCAAAAAGTCAAATGACTCACAGGGCTCTTTCTTAAGTAAGCAAAATAAAAAGCAAGACTGTTTTGGTTTGTTCTGTTTGATTTGGTCACAACATTTTACTTTGGTTCACAAATAACATGCATTTTCAATGCAAGCGAAAATGTAGGTACCTGAGCTTTTATCCAATGAGTTTTGGCTGCACTTCGTGTGGAGACTTGGGGGAGACGTGGTAGAGGCATGGGAGAGAGATGGGGGAGACAGGCAAGACCCGCACGTGCAACAACCTGGGGACGGCCCTGATCGCAAGTGTATGTTTCTGTACGTGCGTCTATGGTCCGCGCTCGGTACATGACCACGCGCGTTCGCTGCTGTCAAAGTGGCTTCAGTTTCTCCCCGGGTCAGAACGGAGGATGTTATTGCATCGCGCCCGACTTTTTGAGGAGAACTGGTTTATGTGAAGTATGCAAATGCGCTTACTAACTCAAGTGATGGTACGCATTTCTGATATTTGCCGCGCATGCGTACCTTTGTACCACTTATGTGCACCCCTGGTTATAACATTTAAATTGTGATTTACCCATTAAAAAACATTGACTTAGACAAGACAAGCACAAAAGTGGGTAGGCCAAGACAAAAAAGTGCTTGTAGCGGTTCAAAGGTGACATGCAAGGTCTTATAATAAATTCATCAGAAGTCTGTTTGACAATGTTCAGAACACTTACCAGTCCGGTACACGATTCTTTCTTCTGTTAGGAGGATAAGCAGTGATTAAAACAGTTTTAAAAGTAGTGCTACAAACTAGGTTTTTAGCAATAATACCATTCTTTTCATTCTGTTTCAATATACTAGATTTGACTTTCTGACAACTAGATTCGTTCAAACTTTGTATGAAAAACAAACAAATTACTACTTTAGACCAGAAAGAATTGCAGAATTCTATTTTAGATTAAATAAATGAATTAAAGAACTTACCAACTACAGAAACGTTACCTATGAATAAATAAGAAGAAATTATGTTAGATATTACTTTACTTTTGATACTATATGTACAGTATAGCAGATCTTACCCATATTCTAATCCTTCTAAGATTGGAGACAGCAAGTTGACTATTTCAGGAAGAACTCCGAGGGTTAATAGTAAATGCTTACAGAGACAGCCCATTTATAGCCTGCTGAAGTATGAGGCTCTTAACTCCTCCCCGTTATGTAAGACATTTGGAAACAAAACAAATTGTTTAAAATTATATTACATTGTGTGTGTGTGTGTGATAAAACTACTGGATGACCTGAAATACTGAAACTAAACCCAATTAATTATAACAACCAGATGATTGAGTTCCAACTGTGTGTTGATGTAACTGTATCTAGAGAACTGTGTGAACTGTACAGTTTGATCATTTGTAGTATTGTTTGGACATTTTGTTTAACACATGTAAGAAAGAATAAAGTCTAAACAACAAAATACCTAATGTTAATCCAAAAGTGAAAATACACAAGACTTTCTTTCCATTTTGCTTCTGAGATTCCAGTGGAACGAGGATGTAACAATATCTTCTTGAAAAGTCATGACTCTGGAATGTAGGTGACAACCAATACAAATACTGATCGGTGAAGGTGTGGCCTTGACACTGAGTCATTGGGGAAACAACAGAACCTATGCCCTGTTGGATAGGGCATAGGTTGTAAAGGATTTGATCCAAAAAATGTACAGCAATAATAATCCATGAAAACCATCCCCAACAGAATTCCTACAGGTTTCTTCAAGTCAAATCCAACTCTTTATAAAGTCCTCCACACACCACAATAACAGCAAAAGCGAGGTGGCCGAGAATGTATGTACACTGTGAGCAAGTGCAGAGAAGTGGCTGCTGCTGGGGCCTCTGTAGACGTGTAAAGAACAAGTTAGCCCGTGTTAAGGCCATAATTTAGTGTATACTAAAAGGTCTAAAAGTGTACAATTCCAAAATGTTTAAGTCTAAAATTAGTTCTGAAAATTAAAATCATTATTTAAAAACATCCTGAAATATATATTTGTTACTTATGATGATGTTTCACTCTGTGAAAACGAAAGTGCCATACATGTCTAAGAGGTTTGTAAAATCATATGGAAGCTCAAGATCACAAGTTTCCAGTGCTATAAGTGAGCGTCTGAAAGTAGCCTCTGTAAAAGCTGCTATGGAGGCACGCATGGCTGAGTTAACAAAGAAACATGCTATGGAAGTGGAAAAGGCTTCTGATATAGCCGCATCTGATGCAAAGCTAAAGGTTTTGGACAGTTTCACTCAAAGTCCAGAAGAGAGAATGTCACAAAAGGTGCAACATGATATGAAAGACAGTAAAAATGTCAACATAATCAAAAGTGTGTCAATGGAAAATTCTATACATTCATTTGAATACCCGGACATTGGTGATGTACCAAAGACCCCGCTTCAACATTTTATAAATCAACCAAATGTTGGGGAAAGGAGACTAAACAAATCTTCATCTGACAGAGCTCCATCAGAAAATGGATCTGAAAGTGATACAAGCATAAGTAATGACACGGACAAACCAACTCTTTCCAAAGAACTGCTGAATGTTATTAAAAAGTAAAATGACATCACAAGTCTTCTAATGTCACAGCAACAACAATCCTCACTACCCTCCAGACAAATACAAGTATTCGATGGCAATCCATTACAGTATCAGACATTTGTGAGAGCATTTAAATATGGAATGGAGAGTAAAACGGACCATGAGGATGATAGACTCTATTACTTGGAGCAGTACACAAGTGGTCAAGCCAGAGAGCTTGTAAGGAGCTGCTTTCACATGGATGCAAGTATGGGCTACAAAGAGGCAAAAAGACTATTAAAAACACATTTTGGTAATGAATTCAAACTTGCAAGTGCATATATTGAGGGCTCTCAATTGGAACAACATAAAGCCAGAAAATGGAAATGCACTGCATGCATATGCTCTTAATTTAAGAGGATGTCTCAACACAATGAAACAATTAAAATCCATGCAAGAATTAAATCTACCATCTAATCTAAAACTGGTGTTGTCTAAACTGCCCTATAAAGTCAAAGAAAGATGGAGAACAGTGGCACATGAACTTCTGGAAACAAATAAAACACCAGCACGATTTTCCGACCTTGTAGCATTCATTGAAAACAGTCTAATATTCTACAAGATCCTCTCTTTGGTGAAATCCAGGATGTTTCTAGAAAAACATACTCCAAGCCTACTGTAACAGTAGAGTCCAGAGCTCACCTGCCACAGAAGAATAAGAGCAGCAGTTTTGTCACAACTGTTAATGACTATAAAACTGTGTGTTGTATTTGTGGTAAAACAAATCATTCTCTGGATCAGTGTGAAAAGTTAAAAGCACAGACACTTGATGTTAAAGTGCATCTACTTAAAACAAATGGCATCTGCTTTGGCTGCTTGAACAAAGGACATATGAGCAAAGCATGTAAAAGAAGGATGACATGTGAGTACTGTCAAGCCAAACATCCAAGTGTGTTGCATATACACAACTCACTGGACAATTCAAATATGAAACTAACACAATCAGTGAGTGGCACATTACTTTCAATGGAGAAGAAAAACAGTTGTGATACTGGGGCTGGAAGTGACTGTAAACTATCGATTGTGCCTGTCCAGCTAAAAGCAGCAAAAGGTGACAAAACAATCCTTACATAAGCCTTCCTAGACCCAGGAAGCACAGCCACATTCTGCACAGAGAACATAATGCGTCAACTGAATGTCAATGGAAAAAGGACACAAGTTTTGCTGCAAACAATGAGACAAAGAAAACCAGTAAACAGTTACGAAATTAATGGTTTACAAGTTGGTGATGTGAGTGGCAATAACTTTATTAATCTGGAAAAAACGTATACTCAATGGAAAATCCCAGTGACAAGAGCAAACATATTGACACAAACTGACATTCACAAATGGCCGTATGTAAAAGAAGTGAGAATCAAAGAAATCGATGCGGATGTGGAACTCCTTATAGGAGTAGATGTTCCAAAGGCAATGGAACCCTGGCAGAAACAGTCAGGGTAATGGCCCCTATGCTGTCAGAACTTTACTTGGATGGGTGGTGAATGGACCGCTCAATTCTACAGCTGTGGACGGACATGGCAGACCTGTGGCATCTGTAAACCACATTTCAATTGATAATATAGAGACTATGCTAAAACAACAATACAGCCATGACTTTAACCTCTTAACATCCGCCTCATTTTGGCTCGTGCACAATGGTTGGGCATACCCAAATGTCTTTGCTTATTTAAAAACACATCTTACATCTCACATGCTTATGTGATGCATCTTTTTAAAGCTAGAGCCTTCTAGTTTATGTAAAAAAACCTATTTTCCTCTGCATCCTTTGAAGTTAGGGAAAAAACCCCAATTTTTTTAGCTTCGCCTAACATTTTCAATTTCTAAAGGCCCTAAAAAAGGCATACTTCATTGTAAGTTCACAATATTCAAACCCTCTGTTCATTGTGTTGTTGACAACAACTCTCTAAAGTTTCAGACTTCTAAGTTTTATAGTTTTTATGCAGTTTCTCCTTTTCATCAAGTAGTGCACATTTGGCACAATTTGGCACAAGTGTGCCAAATTGTGCCAAATATCTTTACTTACATTTAATCATCATAAAAACAATATTTTTTATTATTGGTACTGGTATAAGTGACTAATCTATGTGTGTTTTTCTTTTTTAAATGTCAAAGTTATTTTTTTATGAGTGTAAATTCATTGCAGCTTTGAGAGCGTCTTTTGGCTTCCATTACGCACAATTCTACAGGCACAACATAAGACAGGACACCATTGTCCCACCCCTTGTTCGAAAGCTTTCCTCATTGGCTACAAGGACATGTCAATCGTAAATCCCGGAAGTAAAAGCAAACAAGTTGGGATCACAACAAAGATCAGTGAACCATGCGCAAACAGCAGCACTAGCTGTACTTACGGGAGCTATTGCAGACCCAAAAATTGGTCTAGCTTTTCGGGAGTAGTCTCATTTGAAAGATAAGGAGCTAAGGAACACGTAGATACCAGATGTTTGGGTGAAAAACAAAGCTAAAAGTCCGTTAAAAGTGAAAGAGTAACATCTGTGCTCTTTTTTTTTCTTTTTTTTCGCTAAAGATAAATGCACATTTTTGGATTATTTCTGCAGAATGGATTTTACTTTGGGAAATACAAGTGGATATAATTTTCCTTTGGACTGTTCCAGAGAGAATGATGTATTGCAAGCTGGGAGGAGAGCTGATTTATTTGTACAGCACAAGCCCAAAGGTAAAAAACTATTTCGGAATTGATTTATTTTGTGCCCACATTATGTGTTATATCTTTTGAATGCAAAGTCTGATGTAGTTACTGTATACACTTGTATATAAATGTAGATAAGAAAATGAGCTTTAAAATGATATACAGCTTTTGGGGTTTGGTGTTCAAAATACATCTGCTATTGCCAGCAGAACATTTAAAAACATAAAAACGGCCGCCGGCGCGCCGGTTGCTGTAAAGAGGTTAATGAATCTGAATCTTCCTGAAAAAGAATATGAGGAAAGACCACCAATGTCAGCTGAGGACACAAAGTTTATGAATATGATGTCACAAGAGGCAACATTAAAACGCAATCACTACTACTTACCATTGCCGCTTAGAAACAGAGACATTGTTATGCCAAATAATTATCACCTTGCTGAACAAAGAGCTCATTATCTTGCCAAAAGGTTCCAAAACAATGTAAGCTTTGCGGAGGAGTACAAGGCATTTATGAAAGACATAAGGCTAGACATCTAAGGATCTTCATATAAACAATGGAAAAGTATGGTACATACCCCACCATGGTGTGTACCACAAACGCAAAAAGACCCTTAGAGTAGTATTTGATTGTACCTCCTCGTACCAGGGCATCTCACTTAACAAGGAGCTGCTACAGGGTCCTGATCTGACCAACTCACTGCTCGGGGTGCTGCTCAGGTTCTGCCAAGAACACATTGCTATAATGGCAGATATTGAGGGAATGTTTCACCAGGTTAGAGTTAATGAAGAAGATTCTGACCTGCTGAGA